AAAGGTCGAGAAAAGTTGCCAATGTTTTAAAAGTGCTTGTGAAATCTTTACTTATATAAGTAATTTTTTCAGTTCAATATATCTCACTTAAACTTCCTAAATATCAGACTATAAATAAATCATTCTAGATTTTAGAAAAATCTATATTAAAAAATATACATTTATATTCTGCTATATTTTAAACTAAATGTAACATTTATTCCAATTCAGATTAATTAGTGAAATCGCTAATTTTTCTCAGTGTTTCAGGAAATACATTTTATTTTTTAAAGAATTTTTAATACAGAAAATTACATTGTCTTAACAGTTTTATCACTATAGACAAATTGATAGATTTTAATGATAATCAGAAAATCATACAAATTCTTTTTAAAATATTGAACTGTAATGAGATTTTCCATTTATTTTTATTTAGCTATCTCCAATAATTCATGAAAAAAAACAGCATAGCATGATGAAAAAGGGCCGAAACTTAAAAAAGAAATTTTATTATCAAAATGCTTATTAAGAGGAAATACTGATGCATTTTTCATCCTTTCTAGCATGTTTAAAATTTTGGTTAAAAATCGTTTTTGTTACATCAACAGTCAACATAATATTTACCATTAGTTTTTTAGTGCCCTTTTTAGGTGAAAAGCACATTAATTTGGAAATTCTTGCAAAAATGAAGTAATTGTTTTGATTTTAATGAAACTTTCAGAACTTATTCAAAAATGAATCAAATTATTTTAGACGTTTTTTTTTTAGAAAGTCAGGGTAAAAATACTTTCTTTTTTTTACATCTGTTACCCTGCCTTACTTGATTTTATGAGAACTTGAGAAACTCTGAATAATGTAAATCAATTTTTTTTAAACTGAAATATACAGCTGCCCAAATTTCAACTCTTCCGAAAATCAGACCAGCAAAAGTGACGAATGAAGTGGCAGTGGAAGCCAAAATGCAAAATGACCCCATTGACACAATGAACATCGTCAAGGGGTCACTGAGAATGTAAAAGTACTCAGCAAGGACCCCATGTCTATTTTGGCCTGTAAGATAGAGTCCCTACTGATTGTCACCACAAATAAACTCATCTTTCGTTAAATGATGACTGCTTTAAAAGGATAATTGGAGGTGTAAATCAGGCACTTATTTATCTTCATATTTTTCTAGAAAAGTGAAGTTATTTAGATTATTTAAATTATTTATCTTGTTATTTTTTAAGAAAATTATGAAAGCCGAATAGCTTTCACCTTTTTACGCTTTACGAATGTTTTATGGAAAATATATTATAAAGAAATTAAAATAATACTGCTGAAAGTGAGGTTAAATTTTATTTTCATAAGATATCTAATTTTTAGGTACCTTTCTCATGAAATTTTATCAGAAGTGTACATAAAAAAACTATAATTTTATGTACATTTATTACATTTACTGTGTTATTTGCATTTCATTCATTTTATTATTAATTTTGATATTTCATTTATGGAAAAAATGTCCTAACTGAGATTAATATAAAAATAAGATTATATAAATTTCATAAAATGATACTTATACTTGTAGGTACAATTCTCAGTTGAAATTGAAAAATCAAATTAATTCTCCACAAAATTTTTGGGGGGTAAAAAAATTAGCAAAAAGAACAATGCTTAACTCAAATAACGCAACTTAATTGTATTCTGGTTGATCTTCTGTACTTTATAATTACAGCCCGATTATAAACACAAAATTACATTTCTTAATAACTGCAGATTTTCTGATTAGTCAAAACGATACAATTTACAACGTGCTGAAAAAAGGACAATTACGAAACCTGATGCGGCTTTTAACTAATTTTATATTTTAACAACTTAAATGTAAAAATCTATTATAATTCAATTATTTATTATTTATTTCTTTAATTATTAAAGAAATAAATAATTGTATTAAAAATTCATTTTTCATCGTAATTTTTTTTGCTTTCAGAAAATATTCTCCATATTCGTAAAAACAACTAAAAGCAAATAAAATCATTTGAAATTAAATAATATTTTTGTTTTATTGAGTTTTTTATGTTACAATTCAGAGCTGATTTTCAGGTAGGGGGATCCAACTAAAAAAAAAAAAAATCATGATTTGCATTCCTCAAAGCCTTGTGCCTTTAACTATTGTAATAACTAAACCTGAGGCGATTGAATTTCTAGCGTTTTCATAAAATTAGTTATGGAATAATAAATACATAAAAAAGATTTCTGCCATGACTACTAAAAAAGAACATATTTATAATAATTCCGATCATCTGTGAATAGTTTCTTAAAGTTTCATTAACATCCGATAATTATTTTTATTTTTGCAAGATTTTCCAAATTAATGTGTCATGCAAAAGAAAAAAAAAGTGCTAAAATTGTATTTATTTTTAGTTCCGGTTTGTAAAAAGAAAAAACAAAAAATTTTTTAACCAAAATTTAAAATGTTCTAAAAATAACATAAATTTGGATAAAAAAAAAAAATAAAATTTGTTTTCATTTTGGTTTTTCAACTTAATCATGGAAAACATAAGCATTTAGACGATAAAATTTTGTTTTTTTCATTTAAATTTAAATTAAATGCCAATTTTTTTATTTTACAGGGGCAAACATATGCCGTTTTTCAATATTAAGAAGTTTAATTATATCTTTAAAATAAATTTGTTTTGTTTAAATTGTTTTTTTTTTTTAAAAAAGAGATATTTTAGAAAATATTTTTTTTTTTCAAATAAAATAATGGATGGAAATGAATATGAACTTTCATTAAGTTAATCATTTGCAACAAAATTAATTTATTGTTTAAAATATTTTTAAAAAAGTTCAATGCTCAAAAAACAGGTAAACATATGAATATTAAAACACGTATCTCTGAAAGACTGAATAAAATTAAACTAAAAATTTTGAGAATTAATATTCACATTCCATGGAAATGAATGACCATTTTCAAAAAAAATTATTGATTGTCTTCGTATTACTTTTCAACTCACAAAAAAATTATATCAAAACAAAAAAATTTCTTTCAGAATTTTCAAATTTTTTCAATGACTTTGTGGTAACCCCCCCCAACGTTTAAAAACTTAAATGTTTATTGTTTAAAAATGTCTTGGTTTTTAGACACTTTTTTAAATGACGAGAAAAGGTGTCAATGCTTTAAAAGCTTCTTATTTATATAAGAAAATTTTAATTTTTCCTCCTTTATTTTTCAACAATTAAAATTTAAATTATTTTTTTTTAAAAGCATGTCCACTGTTTTTCGCGGAAAAACAGCATAGCGTAAATGAAAAATGCCACAAACTTAAAGAAAATAAAGTATTATCGTCAAAATGCTTATGTTATTATTTGAAAAAAAAAAGTATTTTTTTAATTATTTTTGAAATTTTTTAATATTTTCTAACACGTTCGAAATTTTGGTTAAAAGTCGTCTTTGTTTACGTCATCGCGGCGACGTTTAAAAACAACATAGTTTTTTTTGCGTTTTTTACCGTTGAAAACATATTGATTTGGAAATTCTTGTAAAAAAAAAATAATTGTCCAATCTTAATGAAATTTTCAGGACTTATTCACAAATGAATGAAATTATTTTTGAAATATTTTTTTTTAGAAAATTTTGGTAAAAATATATTTTTTAAAAATATGTTACCCCAATTTATTTAATTTAATGAAATTTCGCCCAAAACCTTTTTGGTTCCTGAATTTTTTTTTTTTTTAAAAGAAGGAGTCTTCGAAGATGGTAAATAACCTACTTTTTTTTTTTCAAATTTGAGCTATTTAACTGAAAATCTGCTCTGAATTGAAAAAATAATGAATCCAATAAAACTATGATATTACTTAATTAGAAAAGCTTTTAATTGCTTTTGTAAATAAGTAATATTAAGGACATTATTGTCTGAAGAAATAATTTTTTCTGATGAATAATTAATTTTTTACAAGAATTTTTTCGTTTTTTTAAGAAATTTTAATTATAATAATTTATAATAGTTTTAAATCGTGTAAAGCTCTGTATTAGGAGGGTTCCTCGATATTATGTAGTAATTAAGTAGAAAAAAAATTACGAATCCAAAATTGCTAAGTTTAATAAATTTAGTTGAGCTACTTTTTTTAAAAAATAATTTTTATGTTGTATTTTTTTTGGTTAATACATTCCTTATTTCCATGTATGATATACAGAAATTGCCATTATTATAACAAGGTCACGTGATCTAAGGGTTTTTTTGTCCCTTTACATGGCCTTTTCAAAACATTTCGTTTCTTACAGGTTATTTTCCGTTCAGCTTTAAAAAGTGTAAACTTTAAATTTTAAATTATTTTTTCTTTTTTTCATTTACTATTTCACTAAATAATTTTATTTTATGTATTGTATTTCCATTAGTGTGTGTCATACTCAAATAGAATAATTTTTTTAAAAACTCAGACATAAAAATTATGTCATTTATGGTCATCAGTAGTAGCTGTTATCGGTTCGTCATTCATCAATCCATCAATAGTTCGATCAGACGAACAGGGCCGCTCGTTAATAATTGGTTGTATATTATTTTTTTTTTGCTATAAGTAAGAAAGATTTCTTTGAAATCAGATTACTTTAAATTTTTTAATTTTACTAAAATAACGTGTCAGAAATTTTTTTTAAATATTTTCAAAATCGATAAATTTGTGTTTGTTTACAAATTTCTTAAAATTAAGAAAATGGCCGATTTTAAGAAAATTTAAAATTTGAAATTTAAATTTGACAATCAAATGTATATAGTTTCTATCTGAAATACACCAAAATTGTTTAATTAATGGAAATCATAAATTTAATGATTAAACTTTTTTTTTTAAGCTAAAATAAAATCTTCAAGAATGTTTTTTCTTTATAAAAAATTCATTTTAAACTTAAATATAGAAAATTTATGCCGAAATAGTGGAGATACTTACTATTAAGTCTACACTTAGAATAGACATGGCAGTAGCAGCAAGTAAAGGATGGCAATGTGAAACAATTCACATCAAAGCGGCATTTTTGCAGGGCAGACAACTCAGTAGAGATATCTATTATGCCACCTATAGAAATAAAAAGATGGTGCAATATAGAAGTTAAACAAAGCAGCATATAATCTTGATGATGTATCTTGAAATTGGTACTTCAGTGTAAAAGATGATCTTAGCAGATTGGGTTGTAAGCAGTCTGAGTTAGAAAAAGCCCTCTTCAGGTGGCATAACAAGGAGAAATTAGAAGGAATATTTGTGATACAAGTGAATGATTTCTTATTTGTGGGAACTAATGATTTTAACAAGAGTGTCATTGATCCCATTGCCAGAAGATATAAATTTTGAAAGAGATCCAGAGAAAATTTCTGCTGTGTTTGTTTGAATGTGTCATAAAATAAAGGCAATGCCATTTAAGTAAGCTAAAATAAGTATACAGCAGAAATGAAGCAAATTCCAATTTTTGCAAGCAGAAAAAAAATGATAAAACCACACTGAACAGAAATGAAATGGATGCTTTAAGTACAACAGCTGGTAAGTTAAATTGGTTAGCAACACAAACAGATTTGAACTTCAATGCATTGGAACTCAATATGTTAAGGCAGCATCCTACAGTTGAGCAGTTACTGAGAGCCAACAAAGCAATCCACCAAGCAAAGCAAACTCAAATAAGTACCTGCTTCCCCAATCTTGGTAGCTTTAGAGAATGGAAAATTGATATCTTCTGTGATGTATCATGAAGTAATCTTCCAGATGGTGTCTCAAGTGCTCAGGGACATGCAATATTTCTAAATGATAAAGAGTAGAGGAGTTGTTCACTATCTTGGACATCCAACAAAATTAAATGCAAAGTGTCCAGCACTTTAGCATCTAAAACACATTCAAGGTATGATGAAGCCATCTATCTGAGCAGTCTCTTAACAGGGGTATACTGTAACAGGTATACCACAAATAAAATACCCATTACTGTATACACAGACAATAATAGATCTTTACATCAAAATATTAATTACATAAAGCAAGTCCATGAAAAACGCCTGCAAATTAATATTGCTGAGATCAAAAGAATGATTACTCATGGAGAGATACAGTCTATAAAATGAATCCACACCACCATTCAACTTGCAGATGTATTGAGAAAGAGAGGAGCAGATTATAGCAGGCTGCGAGAAGTTATTGCCACTGGAAAGCTTATCAACCACTAAATTCCATCATTATTTTATTTATTTAAAAAATAGGAGGAATATATTGTATATGTTATTGTTCTGTTGCTGTTAGATTAAGTTCTCCCTTCATAACTTGGTAGGTTCTTGCTAGCAGCAGCATGTTTATTTCAACCTCTCAGCTCCAAATAAATTGTGTCCATTTCTCTTTAAGTGAAAACTACCACATGCATGGAGAACCCTTGTCAGTCTGAACCAGTGGTTATTAAACAGCAGACACAGAATGAAAACTACAAAAGCTCCTAAGGTAGTGAAGGAAAGTAAGAAGAAAGGACTAAAAGAAAATCTTATACTCACAGGACAGATTGAGGAACAGACAAAAACAGCTCATAACATAATGGACTTTAGTAAATGGATGACAGAACAGGGTTTAGTAGAAATAGCAAAAAGACAAAATGTTCGCCCACATCCTTAGGGGACAAGGCCTATAAACAAGAATTGCTTAACTTACACCCCTTTTTATTTATGCGTCTTCTTACTGGACATTCAATCTAGACAGTGAGGTGATTCTCAGAGAAAGTTAGAAATCCTAGGATAGATTGTTGGCAGATACAATCTTAACAGTATAAAGGTACACAGATGACACAGAGTTGATAGCAGCCATGGAAAGAAAACTACAAAATCTCGTAGAGAATGTAGAGAAAGAAAACAAAAAGAAAGGATTAAACATCAACTGCAAGAAGACAGTATGCATGTGTCATACTGTACCTATGGAACTATAATGGGTATGTCGTAATCCTCATAAATACAGTGGGATATACTGTATGTGGGTATTCGCCACCATTAGTGGATTACTTATCACATGCCGCTGGCAAATCTCGGATGTTGTTAATGTTATAAAGATTACTCTTCCAATTCCCACCTTCATTTTGGTTATTCTTATTCAGTAACCTTTTCGAGGTTACAACAGCATAGTAGTTAGCAAAAGGATGAAACTAAGATGCAAATTAGAAATTGGAGATGTACAAAAATATCTGAGAAGTGTTTTAACAGAGGATCGAAAGTGCAACACTGAAATCCAAAGGCGATTTGGGATAGCAAAAGATGCATTTCAAAAGCTAAGCAAACTATTAAGAAATAGAAAAATTTAAAAAAAAGAAGAGTACTGAACTTTTACTTGATATTAGTCCTATATGGCAGTGAATGCTGGACAATTTCCTCAAAGATGAAGAAGAAACTTGAAGCAACAGAAATGTGATTCTACAGAAGGATGCTGAGGATACCATGAGCCAAACATGTGAGCAATGACAAAGTTTTAGAGAAAATGGAAACAAAAAGGAAACTCATATTTAACATCAGGAAGAGACAGTTGAAATTTCTAAGGCACAATGAGGAAGGAGGGTTTGAAAAATTTGATACTCACAGAACAAATTGAAGGCAAGAGGTACAGAGGAAAACAATGCATAACATACTTAGTGAGGTTGAGTAAATGCATGGCAGAACAAGGTTTAAGAGAAACGAAAAAAAGAAAAAATTTAAGAGCTACAGAGAACAGAAAATTATGGAGAGTCATGATTACCTACGTCCTGAATAGACACTGCATATAAAGAAGTGTAAGGGAGCTAATCTTAACACTTAAATTCATTATAGCAACATGATTTTAACATAAAATGTTTGCTGTGATTTTAAGGTCATTCAATTGATTTATGCAGTAAAATAATAGAACACAAAATATTATAAAAAATTGTATTTTGGAACTGAAATTTACTTAAGTGAAAAAGCAGACACAAAACATAAAAACAAGCATCATACTGTAGTAAAGATGCCAAAATTAAATTACATGAAGAATCAAAATATAATGCAGTGCATCTTTAAATATATAAATAAATGATTCAGTTTTTAGTTGCAAAATAATTAATGGATCAGTTTGATATTTTTAAAAACTGATTGAATTAATTATTTGCTTTGTGTTATAACATTGCCAAGGGAGATGGAGAAAAAAAGACAAAATACAATAATCTTTGAAAACTAATTATTTTTATTGTGAATTTTTAATTTTTTTTTTCAAAAATATAACAATGTTAACTGATAACTCTTCATAAAGACATGATGAAATTTCATCCATTTTCAAAAATAATATTATTGTAATAATAGTTATTATAATAGAAGAGAAATACCAAGAAATTTGACTTTAACGAAAAGTTCTATGAAGTATTCAAGGTTGCACGTAAAAATGAAATAGAAATTATTTTTCTATTCTTGTTTCTACATGATATAAATTTAAACTAACAAAAATGGTAGAAATGGGATTTATGTACATGTACAATAAGATCAGTTAACAAGGATAGTTCAACTAAATTTAGCATAAGGTCAAAATTTATGGATCATTTCAAACCAAATTCAGTGAGCAAGATAGTTGTTTATCATCTCAGACAAAAATGTTTATATATTTATAATTATCAAAGATCAATTAATGCAATTTTCCAAAAGGAATTAAAATAATCAAGCCACCCTCTGGAGACATTTTAACTCTGTGATTTATTCAAAGTATCACTCTTTAAAGGCTACAAGGGTAACTGATATGATTCATGTCACGCATAACTTGTAATTTTGTAATGATGACAGAAATATTGAAACATTACAATTAACAGATTACGTTGGCAATTACACCCTTTTATCATTTTACAAACTGTTTTATTGCTAATATATCTGAAGTTATATTAAAAAAATATGAAATGTTTACATGTGAATGTAATTTTTTATTACAAGTTATAAAAATCTATCAACATTAATATCTTTTTATATTTATATAGAATTCAAATGGATGAAATATATTTTGGATGGAAAATATCAATTCTCTAAAAAGATTAAAAACAAAAAATAATTTTTTTTTTTTTTTTTTAATACAAAATGTTGCAATCATTGTATATTAGTTCAATTAGAATAATTTCCTAGTTTTTGTTATTTTCATCACAATGCTTCAGCTGTGCTACTTTCTTTTAGAATTTGGAAACATCAAACATTTATTATTGAACAGATTTATGTCCTGGAAATAAACAAAGTTCAACATTGCAAAATATTAAAGCATACAGCAGTTGAATCAAGTTGATAAAAAGTAGCATAGATGAGGAAATTAGTCGGAAAAGACCAATAAACATATTTGGAACAAAATGACAAAAAAAAAAAAAAAAATTAAACATTTTCATTGCAATGGTCAAGTGAAAACAAAAGATAAAATTACAAAAAACTATTTTACTACAGCTGATTAACCTTAAAATGTAAACAAACCTAAGATTTACTGCCAGCTGTCCGTAATGAGATTATTGAAAGTTGCTGACGAGCAGAATAAGTCATGATTATGAACAGAAAAAATAGATTGGCTGCATAAATGAAAGATATGTATTGCAACTGAAAAGGTATGATAAAGAATGATGAAAAATTGGATAAGTATTTCCTCAAAAAAGTAAGAAAACAATTACAACTTGATTATTTGAATGCATATGTATCTGGTCACACACAAGTATTAACAGACATAAACAGTGACACAGGCTTCAGACCTCACCATGAATTTTCTTCATGAAGCTGATTTAATTATATATATAATTAAATCAGCTTTGTGTGTGTATATATATATATATATATATATATATAAGAAAGTGATTGTAAAATGTATGAAATATGTCCTTCCAATTAATTTTTTTTTTTTTTAAGGAAATTTCCTTTGCACTTCACAAAAATCAGCGTATAATCATTCACATTTCAGCAATTCTTTAATGTCAATGTGAGAGTTATGGCATTAATTGAATAATTGTTAGTGTCACTATAATTCACTCCAGGACCTTTTGGCTTCAATAAACACAGAAACAAGTAGATGTAAATGTCATCATTTTTCCCTGAAAATTCTCAAAAAAGTATTTGGCAGTTATAGTCATAAATGAATGAATTATTGAATAAATTATGATTTACATTATCTTTTTTCTTTTTTTGTTTTGACTGTCATTTTTTTATTCTTTTTCTTGCAATTTTCAGGCCATGACAATTTAGAATCTTTTGCCTCTTCTTGCTCATCTTCAATAGATTCAGGTTCCTAAAATTGAAATAATACAGAAAAATTAGCTACAAAGCAAAAGTATGAATTTTTTTTATAGGAATATCTCATGACTATTTTAAACTTTACAAATGAATTGATTGCTAAATCTAATTAACATTTCTAACATTCTTTGAATTAGATGATTATTTAATAGTTTGAAAGATTTTAGAATTCTACAAAGTTTTTTTAGAGGTCTAATTAATGTTTTATAAATCGTTCAAAGAAATTTTTGATCAAACCAAATTAAGAAATCTGAATTTTTTTTTAATCTTATTTGATTGATGGATTGATTCATTTTTTTATGGCTTATCAAACCTTTGCAGGTTTTTTTAAAGCCAGAAAATATTTTTAGATTGTAAGAAATTTTTTTTTAGAATAGTTTTAGTGATACAAGTCTTACTAATTAACCCATAGCTAGGGGAAGATGTGGTGGATTCATATCTTTCCTAAGGTGTAAGTGAATATAATTTACCCAACTGAAATTGGAACTCTGCGCTCTGATTAAGAATTCAGAGCCATTATTCATTACACTACCTGCACATCCAAACTTACAACACCTGGTATTCCCAAGCAGTCACCCATCTAGATACTGACCAGGTTTGATGTTGCTTAAATTCAGTGATCATATGAGAACTGGTGTTTCAATGTGATATTGCTGTAAGCATAAATCTTATTCGACTTCTAGTGTTAAAAAGCAGGCTCATTGCAGTTTAAAGATTTCTATCAATATTGTTAAAAAAAATAACGTAAACTTACGAGAATATTTAGCAAATATTACCGTTAAAAAAAAAAAAAAAAAAAAAAAGAGTATTTATATACTATTATATAGATAAGATGTTCCATGTTTGATCTCCAGTGTCATAGTAAAATATGAAATACATCTTGTGGACAGTGTTATAAATCTCATTCTGCAATTCTTATGCATACATGTATTTGACAGCTTAATTCTGAACTTGAATCAAGAAAAATAGATATGTTGATTGATTGATCTGTTTTTTTTACAGATTATCAACCTTTTGTGGGTTATTTAAAGCTGAAACAGATTTGGGATTGTAAGAATAATTATTTTTTTTTTTGCAAGTGAATATTGCATTAACAATATTTTGAGAATAACAATGATTTTTCCAGATATAGGCTCTACTATTTAACCCATAGCTAGGGAGGGATGAGATGGATTCATACTTTTCCTAAGAGTATTTGTGCATAAGTGAATGCAATGAATTCAACTGGAATTTGAACTCAGCTCACCCATTCCTCATTCTGAGCCACTATCCATTACACCACCTTGACACCCTAGATAAATATTTGCATCATTATATATAAGCATTAAATTTTTTTAGCAAAAAAATTTAAACAGGAGTATGATTTAAAGCCTGGGGGAGTCGGGGAGTCATGTATCAAGTTCAAATTTTAATGAGAAATAGTGAGAGTATTGAATTATAGTTTCAGCATTTTGAAGGGAAAGTTTAGATACTGACTGAGAGTTTACTTTATATTTTTGAAATGTAAAAATACTCCATATACTGAATTCTGCAAGCAAAAAACAAATGTCTATTTGAGAAGAGAGAGATAATAACACCATTATTCATTATCATCCCTTGTCTTGCACATCAACCCAAAATTACCAAAATTATGAACTTCAACTTTCTACAAAATAAACATGCAATTTGAACAATGTAAATATCAAACATTCTGATTTTTTTTTAATAGAGAAACGAAAAAGAGTGATCTTTAAAAAATGTTAAGATTTATTAATATATTTATTAATATAGAAAATATAAAGGCAAATTTACCGTCAAATCATATTTTTTCTTCAATCTTTCTTTAATTAATAAACCTCGAATCAATTTCTTCCAATTTCCATAAATCCTTTTTTCTCTTTTCTGACAAGCAAAAAATGCATTTATTAAAACAGATAAAAATTTTATATGGTTAATAAAAAAAACAAAAACAAAAAAAAACTTGTCATCAGATAATACAAAATCAAAAAAAAACTTTTGATGTTATTTGTCAATTAATTGTTTCCTGTTTAGGATTGAGTTTACATTTTTTTAAACCATTTCATCCCAAGTAAGGTGATAATGCCACTAAGACACAAGGGGTTAATGGGAGTAAAAGAGGATGAGAAGACTTTAGAAGGAGCAAAAAACCTAATCCTACACAGGAAACAAGGGATAACCCTTCACTGTTCAAAAGGAGGGAGTGTGAACCAGGCAATAGGTGAACATGTCTACTCCTATTGAAGGGGGGGGGAAAAAAACAAAACAAAATAAGTCTTCTCATTTTCTCTTCATTCCAGCAACTCCTTGTATCTTAGTGGCATTATCACCTTGCTTGGGGTAAACAGATTAAAAAAAAATTATAAAGAATGACAGATGAGGATAAATGAGACAAAATTTGTGATTTTATTTTCTTCTGCTTAATTTATAGTTACTATCAAAAGACGTAGGACCACTTGTCTAAGGACGACATAAAGATCGAAAAAAAAATAAATAAAACAGCAATATTGTTTAGACAAATTTAATCACATTTCATAATAAACTTTATCAACATTTATTTTTATGATGTCAAAATAAACAAATTAAAAAATATATAAGATATGACACTCATTTTATACAAAAAATGCAGTGAAATAAATACTTTTGAAATAAGAGTAATATTAAAGAAAGTTATTTTACCTCAATTTCTCTTAACTGAGTACGTTCCTGATCCTTTTCCCATTCTTTCAAAATCATGTCTTCATGTTCAACACACACAATCCAACCATCAAAACTTGAAAGAAAAATGAAATATAATCAAATCAAGAAATTGTGTCATATAATCATTTTGAGGTAATTTTACCAGTTTACTGTTTTATTCTAATCATTTTATATGTTAATTCTTGAACTTAGGAAAAATAAAAAGGCTTACACAGGATGAGAAGATCCCCCGTGGAAATCCCAACCAACCATGGCAGCTGCACAATCAATACCAAGTTTACGAGCAATTCTGTTCAAACCAGGTTCTGTAAATGTTGAAAAGAATACTGTAATTCAGAAAGATGCACACGTTAAATGTGAAAAAAAAAAAAAAAAAAAATGGCTCTTTGTGTCTGCATATAATAATTCTAAATATGTCCTCAATGAGGACAAATCTTTGCTTATAGAATAAGGCACTATATATCCTCTTACAAGTTTGGTTCTTATCATTACTGGCAACTATTTAATAGTGTGTTAAATAATAGTAAGTTCTCAATCCCCTCTCTCTTCACTCAATTTGAAGGGTTATCACCAGCTGATAAAACAATGCTTTGCTTCTAAATTCGCTTCCAATTCTACTTGACTCATCTTGAATATCTTTGACTTTCCTCTTGAAATGGAGTCTCTATTTGTGATACAAATATAACTCAGTTTATGATTTCTGCTAGAATCCCCAAATTGGACCCCCACAAAGCATGCAGACTTGATGGTATTCCTTGCAATTGTCCTTAAAAAAAAAAAAAAAAGAAAAAAAGAAAAAAAAGTGCTCCTAAAATGGCTAAGCACTACAATAAATGGCATAGTGTTTCTTGCTTTCCTGCTTGTTTGAAATCATCTTTTGTAGTTCCAGTTTTAAGAAGTTGGGTGAACCATCTGATCCTTCAAACTATTGAACCATTAATCTTCTACCTTCTTTTTGGCAATGTCCTAGAGGCTCTAACCAACCGCAAAAATGGTTAATCATCTCAACTCGCTGTTACTTCTTTTAGACAAACTTTATGGCTTTCACTGCCAAAATGTTAATGGTTATTGCTGAAAGAGTCAGTCAAGCTTTAGATAAAAATGGGAAAGTTCAGGCAGCTGCCTTAGATATATAAAAGGCATTTGACAGGGTTTGGCATGATGATCTTCACAAGTTGAAAAGTTATAGTGTTTTTATTTGACTCAATCTTTATCAAATGAAATGAAAGTGGTCTTGAATGGTTACTCTTCTGGATCTTTTTGCAATCATCTGGGTGTCCCTCAGGACTCTTCCCTTGGACCGACTTTGTTCCTAATATTCATTAATGACTTTCATGATGTCATCAGTTCTCATGTCATTATTTATGATGATGACAAGTATTCACTCCTGTCTTAATGGTTAGTCTGATATGTTTGATATATTAAAAGTGACCTTCAATCAGTTGTCAAATGGGGCAAGAAATGGCTTGTTAATTTTAACGCCTCCAAAATGAAACTGTTTTAATCATACAAGAGAACATTTTTTGCCTTCCATCAGCATGGAGAATAACTCATTGCACGTTCTTGGTATAATGTTTTCCATTGAAATAAAGCTGAATGATTACATCGAATCAATTGCTAGGTCTGCTGCAAGGAAAATTAGTTCACTGTGTCATTCTAGACAATTTTTCTCAACAGAATCTATCTTACACCTTTATAATTCTACCATTTGTCCCTGCATTAAATATTGCTGTCACATCTAGTTTGGTGCTTCTGCTATGTATCTAAAGATTTTTTTTACAACATCTACAGAATTTGCAGTACTATTGATTTGAACCTGGCATCTCGGCTTTGTTCAGTTTCCCACCACCATAATATAGTTTCCATGTACCTTTTCTACAAATACTTTCATGGTAATTGTTCTCAGGAGTTCTCCTCTTTGATGTAAGTGTAGTACTTAAGTTGCTAGGTCTCATAATTTCACAGCTGAAATATTTATATGTAACCATAAGCTTTACGCTAAGTTTCCTTACCTGCAATTCTCATTTGTGAAACTCTTGCTTTCCTCCCAACTATGGTTTTCAAAAATTTAATTGCGATATCAATTTTCATCTTTAGTCTCCTTGAACCCCATCTTTTATTGTCCTCTCTCTCTCTTCAACGTTTTCTCATTTGCATTCATTCAATGTAATCTTTTGTGTCTTCATGGCTTTATCGTCTTTCTTGGGGTGAAACGATTAAAAAAAAGAACAAAAAAAAAAACAAACTATGCAGCAATTCCCAAAGACTGAGGCTTATGGCCATATATCATTGAAACATTGGCTATCATATAATCAATGAAGTTAAGCAACATTGAGCATGATCAGTACCTAGACGGGTGACTACTTGGGAATACCAGTAGCTGTAAGCCTGTATGTGTGTGTAATGTAATGGATAATGGCTCATGATTGTTAATCAGAAAGCCGAGTTCCAATTTCATTTGCGTTTGTTATATTCACTTATGTGCAAATACTCTTGGGAAAAGTATGAATCCACCTCTTCTTACTCCAGCTATGGGTTAATTACTAAGACATGTATCATTAATATCTAAAAAAAAAAAAAAAAAAAAAATTCTTGCAATCTAAAAATATTTTCTGGCTTTAAATAATCTTCAATGGGTTGATAAGCTATAAAAAAAACAAATTAATCAAACCAAAGACTGAAAATTATTAGTGTCATAAAAAAATATACTAACAAAGATAAGCGTACAGTTTAAAAAAAAAAAAAAAAAAAAAAAAATAGAAGATACTCAGAAAAAAAATTAAAATGCAAGAAATGAATATTAGACCTTGCCTAAAAATTAAAAAAAAGAAATCATTACAAACCTTTCAAATGAACAGTTCCTCCTGGAAGCATGGATGGTTTATAGAGTTCAACATTTCCATATTCATTCCGAGGAATTTTTCCCTAGCAAAATAATAACATATATTACGATGAAATAACAAACAAATTAAATCATTGCATTTCTATATGTGATACAACGGATAATTTAAAAAAAAGAAAAAAGAAAAAAGAAAAAAAGAGTCCAATGGAAAACTAAGTGTGCAAAAAAAAAAAAAAATTAAAAAAAAAAAAAAATACCAAACTAACCCAGTTAAAGTAAATCATAAGTGAGTATCTCTATCTTTGTAAATACTGGATTAATCATATAAAGTTATTAATCCTAAGTATACTGTATAAGAAGTGATTATATTCCCTCGGTAATGAAATTCTAAATATTACAATATGAAAAGATGATAATCATTTTGATTACAGTAGAACCTTTTGAACTTACATAAGAAGGGTTCTAATATAAAAAAAAAATCTAATTTTTTGTCTATATATATATATATATATATATATATATATATAGAGAGAGAGAGAGAGAGAGACAGGCCAGTAAATGTAATTAATACTATTTTATTAAAAAACAGCATTTACTTAAATAAATCGTATCTATTAAAATAACATAAACAGAAAATATATTAAATAATTGTTGGACTTAATCCATATCATAATATATATGTGAGATAACTATATATAAATTTCTGTATATTATTAAAAATACTGGGGAAAAAATGTATGACAAAGTGGAAAAAGTTTTTGTGTGAGGTTTTCATCCTTTGGGACCTCAAACTAAATTTGTTATGTTGGTACGACTACACATGCACATGAATAAGAGATGCTGGGAATTTTGAATTTAATTTTTTTTTTCTTATACATATATAATCTAGCCAACTTAATTTAGATTCTTTTTCTTTCCATCATTATTGTTATTAGATATCCAACACTGTGATAATAGACAATCTGCCAGGAATGGTGAAATGTTTTAAGAGCCAGGGTGCAAATTTACTGTGAATGACCTTGCACTCTCTAAACATTTTTGTCATTTTGATTGCAAGGTCATTCACAGTAAATTTGTGCTCTGACTCTTAGAACATTTCACCATTCCTGGCAAATCTTCTATTATCACATTTAAAATTCCCAGCATCCCTAGTTCATGCGCATGTATAGTTGCAGTGACATAATAAATTTAGTCCAATGAAGTCCTAAAGGATAAATAACATTGCACAAAAACTTTTCCCACATTGTCATACATTTTTTAAATTTCGCTTGAAGATGGAACAGAGCTTATTTTAACTCAATTTAATTTAAATAATTATATTGAAGTTTTCGGCTCTTGTTTTGAAACATGAGACATCTTATGTAGCGTTTTGGAATCATATTTTTAAATAATTATATATATATATATATATATATATATATATATATATATAAAAAAAGAAAGAACATTAAGATATATATTCCGGTGTTCTTATAGATATTTTTATTTTTACAAAATACTCCTCAATGTAAATTTACAGAGCATTAATTGAGGATGAAATGGAACTAATGTCTTTAATTTAATTACAAAATTAAATTCAAAGCTTTTAGCTTCCATTTTTGAAACATGGTTAGAACTGTGTAGCAAAAAAACCATATTTTAAATCAATTAATTTAATATATTTATCTTATCATTGACAGATTCTGATCCCTTATTTCATCTATATATATATATATATATATATATATATATATATATATATATATAGGGACCAAATAAAGGATCAGAATCTGTAAATGATAGAATAAAGAACAAATTGGAAATGTTTATCAATCTAATATGTTTTACTTTTATTAATGCTTTATCAGAGGATGAGATATGGGGAAAAAAAGAAATTCTAGTATTTTTATTTTTATTTGATTTTCACTGGTTAAGCAGGCTTTACATGCATTTTGGAGTTTCATAGGATGTACTGTCTTTCCTTGAGTTCAGGATACCATAAATTATACTAATGCTGCTTAAAAATTCAAATGCATGTGAAGCCTGCTTAAGCAATGAGAAATCAAGCAACACAAAAATAAAAATACCAGAATTTCTCCTTTTTCTCTATATCTCATCTGCTGAGAGAATATATATATATATATATATATATATATATATAGGGTACCTCCACTAACTTTTCAATATCTAAAGTTTAAAATTGAAAGCTAAATGATTAAATTTCCTATTCCCAGTAAGCAAAATACTCTGGTGTATTTCAAAGAGAAATTATATTGATTGGAATTTTGACATTTTGGTTGCTTTCACAAAAATCAGCCATTTTTGACACATTTGTAAACAAAAAGAAAAAAATAAAAATCTCTCAAAAATAAGATATACTTTTCTGAAACTTTATTTGAGGAATATTAGCTGATTTAAAGTACAATTAATCTAATTTGAAAAAATATTATTTACTTTAAGTTTAAAATATTAAAGAAATGGATTTTTTTAAAACAAATGGTAGCAGTGATTATGTGCTTATCACTGTTGCTTGTCATTCATCGATCACTTAACAAGTGATGATTAAATCTGTCAACACCTTTACTGTTGTTCTACGGAGACTTTATCTGTTAAAACATAATCTAAGAAAATGATGGGGGAGTGCCTATCTTATATATTTTTTAAGTAATCAGTAATCTTAAAAATGTTGGAAAATATTCTCTGTAATCGAATTTTAGGAATAATGAATTTAAATTTACTATAGTCATCACTCTTATTTTCTGATTACGTCCTGTATGGTCAACCATACTTTTAAATGGGCAAGTTACGTAATATTTTATATATGTTAAAAATTTTTTTTTTTTTTTTTAAATATTGAGTGTAACCAATTTTTATTCAGCTTTTCAATTTTCGTAAATGTAGTTTTCACTTAATAACAATATCATCTAAGTGGATTGAAGTAATGCAGAATTTTAAACACTTTATAATATTATAAATTATTATGATTAAAATTTAAAAAGAAATGAAAACAACTCTTGCAAAAATTCATTATTCATTGAAAAAAGTTTTTTCTTAAGACGATAGTGTTCTTAATAAATCTTATTTATAAAAGCAATTAAAAGCTTAAAATTATAGATTGTGCTGCTATATTTTGTTTTTCATGACAATTTAAGAACATTTAATTAAACTGAAGTCCTTTTTTTCATTACACCCCAAGCAAGGCAATAAAGCCACTAAGACACAAGGGGTTGCTGAGTGTGATAGAATATCAGAAAAAGAAAGTATCATTAAATTGAGAGAACAATAAAAGAACAGGAATTAAGAAGACAGAAGATAACAATTGACATTGCATTTAAATATTTTAAGATCAAAGTTGACTGGAAAGCAAGAAGCCGGAAGAGAGTTCCACAAGTGTGAAATGCGAAAGAAACTTGTTTGTTACAACAAAATGAACATATCAGAAACAAAATATTATTTTGACTTACATTTACTGCAGGGGGTGGAACATAGATTTCCGTTTGCCAAATTCCAAACACTGGTAGATCTGGAATATCTGGATTCTCCTTAGGTTTATTCTTCAATATAAAACATTTATCTTAAAATCTCTGAGAATAAAGTAATAATGAAATTATATAGAATCTGTTGAAAAATTGAGAACCTAAAATTAAAAACAGTTTTAAATAACTCTCAAGCAAGAAACATATCTTCAGGTATATATGTTAGGCAAAAGAATTTCATGAATTTTTAAAACATTAAATCATTGATGTTATTAACTACAAAAAGAATTCAGATTCTAAGCATGAATGTAAATGTTAGATATCATTTGATGTTGAATATGTCAGTCGGTTATGTGTCATGCATGATACACGGTTAGGTGATCAGGTGTCTTTTAATACATGACTGACGAGGCAGATTCACCCCCCTACCCCCACAGTAGGTTGTCATTTCTTTCTGCGGTGGACCAGTTGCCATCGAAGGCTATAGAACCCAGTCTGTCCTGCTATTTACATCTAGTTGAGGAGAGAAGAAGAGGATTCATACCTTTCCCAAGGGCATTAGCACATAAGTGAATGTAATGGATTTGACTGGAATCTGAACCCGGCTCTCCGATTCCTCCATCCGAGCTGCTATCAATTACTCCACCATGTCTCTAATTGATTATGTATCTAGTTTTATATGACTTTGTAATAATTGTTTGGCTGACATGCAACAGCTTAGTCAATTATATGCAATTCCATAGTTACTATTTAATTGTGGAACATACAAAACTAAAGTAATTCAACACTCTTCAATCATTTTGGCTTAGGATTTATACCAAGATTAACTATACATTAATTTCTGCATACACCTCCATTATATGCTGAATCATTTACATTTTTCTGTTAATCTGTATTCCCACCTCATTAGATATCTGTTCTCACACACTGGAAAATATTTATTTATTTTTTTTTTTTGGTAACATATTCTTGACTACTATTCATCTTATGCAAGGGTCACCAAACCACAGCCTGTACACCAGATCCGGCCCCTGATGTCAGTTCATCCAGCCCGCTGCTTCACTGTGCCACAAATGAGCTAAAATATAATTATTTACATGGAATTATCAATATATTGTAGTTAAACTTACTATGTAGAAAAATAAATGTAGGTAAAATGCCAAAATTTGGCCAATCTGATTTTTGCATCTCACAGTAATATAAGTTTTAGGAAAATCAGTGAAATAAAAAAAATTTGGTGACTTTTTGCAATGTTTTTGTACAAGTGCCTGCAATGACGTTTCTAAAAAAGTGATTACGAGCATGTTGCAGCAACTATGTTTCAACTTGTATTGTGGTGTTTAAATCGGTTTGAAGAGTGCCATATATAAAAAGGACCGACTTTAGCGAATTATGTCATATATTTTGCTTCAACTTATGAAATCTAAAGTATGTAAAGTCAGCACATGTAATGAGGTTGACTGATGAACATTTGAAAGCATTTCTTTTGGCTGGATGCAGCAATACCAAAACAAATATTAATTACATCTTAAAAGTTTCATAAATCCAACTAACCTTTTGTACTGCTTGTTTGTGAGATTTGGATATGTGTGCACTTGGTGTAATAAAACTATTTTATTGCTATTGTTGCCTTCTTTAGTAAATAAGTATGTTTGTTGTCTTTATTTTAGTGCATTTGGTGTACTGTATTGAACAAAATGGTTATCCAGCCTGCACTAGTCATTCTCTCAATTATCTGACCCTCTGTGAAAAAAGTTTGGTGACCCCCTGATCTTATGCATAAAAAATGATAAACACAAAATACCATAAAATGATTTCCTAGTGAGATTATAACTTATTAACATATAATCACTATAACATTACAAAAACTCAACACTGATGTGAAAAAAGCCACTGTTTATTTAACAAAAGTATATTTCCTTTTTAATTATTTTTCCTCTTATATTACAGAAAAAAAATAAATCGAGATACTTTTTCTAAAAATTACTATTTCTCAGAATTTTTCTGACTATACACAAATATTTTTTTCATATCCATAAATAATTTTTTAAAGATTCAATGATGGTCTATTATTCATAAAACAGCTCTTTGAATCCCTTTTAAAATCATTTTTTTAATGTCCCACTTGAACTTACCCACTTTGGTCTTGATTTGACCATTTTGTATGGTTCTTCACCGACCTAAAATTGAAAAAACAAATGATTAAAACAAAATACAATAATTTATGTATTAAAATACAATGTATTATCTATATTAGACAACATACATGTAGTGCTTTTATAGAGGTATATGTGTTACATTGTCAGCAAATGATCTGAAATAACTTTCCTTCAAAGTATTTTTATATACTGAAAATCAAAGATGATCTGTTGAAATTTTATATAACAAGTAATTACACCAATCTAATGTTGTTTATCATACACCTCTTTTTTAGGTATCACACATATAATTAGCAAGGGTATTTATATTTTTATGAAGTTCTTCAGGTCAAACTAGATTTAAAGATAACCAGTGATCTTTTCTTCGTTGCATAGTTTTTGCAAATTGTAAGGTCTGTCAAAAAAATTATCCAACCATTTTGAATGTCTTAAGAATCAGTTGAAGATGGTTTACATATTTTGATAAGTTTTTAAAATTTTGGAATCAATAGGTTTCTTTTCAAATTTATTTCTTTAGAAAACGTAAAAATAATAAATATTGCATTGTACTTGCTTCACATATTTTTATAATGTTGTAAATAAACATTGCCGAGGTTAAGGCAGTACAAAATAATAATGGTAGCAATGGAAAAACTGTCCATCAAAGTTTGCCATAATTTTTATTAGAAATATATAAGATACCTTTCATTAATTTTTTGATACTTTTCTTTTTATTTGATTTTTGTTGTTTTTTTTTTATCACACTGTTCAATTTGTTTACCTTCTACAATTATTAAGTAAGCAGCATAGATAAAAAATAAAGGATAAGTTTTCAATAAGTTTTGAACTTCTACTCCTACCTTTTTAAATTGGAAGTTTATTCTTTATTTTCAATCCATGCTGCTTGCTTATAGAATGTAAAACACTTAATATAAAAACAAAAATAAATAAGTGAGCAAAGAGAGCAAGTAAAAGAAAGTTCATAATAATAATGCTTCATTTAAGAAGCTCAGATTTCCTAACAGCTTTCTTTGAAAAATTGTTTTTAATAGTAAAATGAAAAAGAATTTGCAATTCATACAGCTAACAATTTAATCTAGCTTGGTTTGGTTTCGTTTATTTTATAGCATACCAACCTCAATGGGCTATTTAATGCTGACACGTTTTTTTTATTGCTGGTAATATTTTTTCCAAAAATGTATTGTTGTTAAGATTTTTTTTCTTCAAAATTTATTACTGGCAAGATTTTTTGATTTTTTTCTTCAAAAATGTGTTCCTGGTAATAATGTCTTGCTGGTAATAATTATTTTAAGAAAAAATTTATTGCTGATATTTTTACACTTTTCATAGTGTTTTGACTCCAGTTTGGGGGGTTAACTATTTGTTCATAGTTGGGACCCTAACAGGTGCTACCACCCTGGGTCAGGGTGGACTTGGGAACACCAGCAATTAAGAGGTAGTTCCACACTCCTCAAAACCTCCTGATCAGAGGCCTTGCTGTCAGATGTAGTTTATCGTCTTACCCAGGATGCAATTTAATTTAGAAAACAGTAAGAACTGATAAAAAAAAAAAATTACTTCATGATCATCAAATTAATAATACCTTGACATTTCTTCCATCTTTCATCCATGTTTCTCGGGCATGCAACTGTAAAAAAAAAAAAAAAAAAAAAAAAATAAAAAAACAAATCTCAAATTAAGAAAAGCAATTATTATTATTATTATTATATATATATATTGATTTATCCAAGTGATTGCCCTTATCATGGTTTTTATAGTCACAACATTTCAGCTGTTATACCCTTTTCTCTTCTTCAGATGTCTGTCATATTTAATAACCTCCTAGGAATTTCAAACAACTCTTTATTCAGTCCACAGGGGTACATTTTTCTCATTCCCCTACTCAAGAGAATATCTACTATCAGTTACTTCCTAGTTAATATTTTTATTATGCTGCACTAATCTTGGAGGAACTAACTGATATGAGAGGTCTCCTAGCATAGACAATGGAATATCAACTGTCTACTCCTATAGATTAAGTAAAGGGTTCAGTCTGAAAAAAAAAAAAAAAAAAAAAGAAAAAAGATTAAATAGTAAAAGACACCTGAAGAATGCTGGAAGGTACAACAGCTGAAATATTGTGAATATAACAAGGTAAAGAGACTAGCTCAAATAGATAAATGTATAATAATTACTGTATTTTATGGCTTGGAAGATGCACCCTAATATTGGAAAGAAATTTCTAAGGAAAAAAAAAAAAAAAAAAGTCATTCTCATACACCAACACATTCACTATGCATCCCTCACATACTGGCACCATGTATTATTTACATTAATCACTCATCCAATTTCGTTTATATGGCAATGACATATTAGTCAAGAGCAGAAAGACTCCCACTGCTGCTAGCAAACAGAGCATGTTTATGCATGTGGAAGGTTTATAGTCTTGGAAATACTTGTAACAACTAAGTACTGAGGTTACATCATATAAAAGGCGGAATTAGCTAACATTATAGTGTAATGACTCAACATAAAAATCCACGTTCCTATCAGTCAAGACAATTAGGTGAACATCCAAATTTACTTGAGCCTGGGTGTTGCCTTAAATTCATCTTGAAAGGTGCATGCATATTTTTCAGGGTATTTTTTATGAAAAAAAGTGTGTCTTGAAATTCGGAAATTATGGTATAATCTTTTACTCAGACAGAAATTAGCTGTTATTCAATAGTACTTCAATAAGCAATACTTTGTGAAAACTTTCATGTTTTAGTTTGCATATGTTTCTATTTCAAGGCTGTCACAAGTAATCAATGAGGAATTAATAAAATAAATAGGTAAGCCTTATTTTTTCAATTTGCTACAGAAACATTATTATGTACATAGTTAATCTAAGAACAACTTGAATTTCAACAAATACTTCTACAGTATATTAGTTGAAGATGGTCAGAGAATAAAGCAAACAAACAATGAGATAAATAAATTAAGGCAAGAGTTTTAAAATAGCTAATAAAAATAGAATAGAACATGTTGTAATGTAAGCAAAAATTCTGTTGAGATTGGGAGGGAAACACCTAACCGATTGCTCTCCCAACAACTATGGGGATAATATGGAGAGAGGGGAAAGAGATGGGAGGTAACAAAAATTAACACTGCCTTGGAAACCACAGCAACTTGAGGAACAAAATGCTCACTGGACCAACTTGACAAGACACCATGTCTTGCCAACTGCTGACTGTTTTCCCCAGCTTTTATTGGCATGAGGCATCTTACAAAGACCCAGATCTTGATTAGTTGCAGAGAGGGCTGTATCTAGCTAGACATGCCAAACTGTCCTGCTGCTAACGGAAAAAAAACCCAGATGTAACTGATGTTGACAAACATGTCTGCATGTGATCTGAGGCATCTTTTGTGTCTGTACTGACACGTGTTCACCAGATTTCAATTTAAAATTCTATTTTCTTCCAACTCTGGAGAGATACTAAATAATTCAAAACCCTATAAAATTTATGCAGTTTGATTTATATCTTACAGCTAATAAACTCACTTGTGGAAATCTATTTTGGCCTCTTGTTTTGCAGTCAACTTTGATCTTCAAAATTTTAAATGCAATGTCAATGGTTATATTTTGTCTTCCTGTTTTTTTTTTATTGTTTTCTCTCCTTAATGTTTTCCTTTTTCTCTTATACTTTCACTCAGTAACCCCTTATGTCTTAGTGATTTTGCTTTGCTTGAGGTGAAATGATTTTTAAATAAATAAATAAAAATATAATGAAAATTTAAAATAGTTTCCAGTAAAGATCCACTTTTCATCTGTGTATTCAGTATCAAGCTTTCAAAGAAAATGGCATGTGAACTTTTGCACATTGATAATATGTTTACATCAACAAAAAAAAAAAAAATCGTTGTAAATCATATTTAAAAGAATCTGAACATCATTAATAACTGATAATGTATTTGGCAAACATAGATAAATGTGCCCACAATAAGACAGACTATCAAAAGGACATTTTTTTTTTTTACAGTGTAACAATTTTTTTTTTTTAACTACCTTCACTCTTGGGCAATGTTTGCTTTAAAAAGTAATGATTAAAATTGTAATAAAAACCAAAACATACATATACATTTTCTTTGTTCTTGAGAATTGATAACAAAAATAATAGACACTATTTATTTATTTATTGGATTGTTTATTAGAACAGTTGGCAAAACATCAGCTAATTGATTTGAACTTTATAAAATTGTAAATAATAAGGATTTCTTTGTAGTTGGATGGATGGATGTTGGATTTAACGGCATGTCAACTCCTATTTTTTGTAGTTGGTTCACACATTTATTTCTTCATGAATTGGTAAATGATAAATATTGCATTGCATTAATTCTAACAGTATTATTTTTTAGAATATTGTAAATATAAAATTATTCTTGTAAATAAACAATCTAATAAATAAATAGTGTTTAATATTTTTGTTGTAAATTTTCAAGAACAAAAAACATGTATAAATTCACTTTTGTCATGTTTAGGTTTTATTCAAATTCTAGTCATTGTCTTTAAAGTAACAAACATTGCTGAAGAGTGAAGGTAGTTAAAAAAAGTGGTATCATGGAAAAACCGTATTTTGACACTACATCTTATTGTAGTAGTCACATTTATCAGTGTTTGCCATGTATTTTATCTAATTTTCAACAAGTCTGTATATCATCAATTAATTATAAAAATAATAGGTTGATAATAATAAAAAAAGTTAATTGTAATCATAATTTACCTGGTGAACACATTCTCTTGCATAAATAGGTTCGTTTTTTAGGTAACCCAAAGGCACAGCTGAATTAGGGTAAATTGCTTCAAATTTCAACAGATGCCGTTTAAGAACATACCTAAAAGGTATACAAAAATAAAATCATAATTTTTATAATCTCAAAAAAGAATATAGCTACAAACAATACAAAAGTTAATGACAATGATATTTAAGATGGCAACAGCGAAATGTGCACTGACTAATTGATTTTACTTTCACTATTAGCTATATTGTAACACAGTGTGGCACTGGTAAATAAAAAAAGGCTAAGTTGGGATATAAGTTTGGAACAAAATGAAATAAGGTTAAATTAAAATATAAGCTTGGAACAGAATGAAAAAAGGTTAAGTTAAAATGTAACTTAAAACCTAGACAACAAGTGAAGACTGGATCGATTGTGCAGAGAAAAAGACAACTATCTTGAAAATGTAAACCCACTAGGGTCGGAAGGAGAAACAGAAAAGACAGTTGAGGATTTGGAAATGAAGCAGAAAGGAAAGAATTAATTAATGATCATCTACTAAAAATGCCAGTTATGAAAACACAAATTGAGAGATAAAGTTTGGTGATTTTAAAATGAAGGCAAATGGAGAAAAACTGATTGATGTTTGTTGTCAAACATTAGAAGACTGAAAAAACAATTCTAGAGAAAGGATTTTATACTTCGCCTAAAAGAAATTAACATATAAAGATTACGGTAAGAGGGAAGCAGCTGGTTAATTTTTTTATTGTAAAGACAAGACCCCAAACTGGGAAAAATGTGCTGATGACAATTAAAATAATAAATACAATTAAGTAAGTTCAACCTGTTTGCCCACAAAATTTGAAAATCAAATTTACCAAGATGACAACCGAGGGGAGAGACTTAAGTGAAATACCAAGAGAGACGGAGGGATTGCCTGTGCTCATTGGCAGGTAATGGTATGAGGCAAAAATAAGAGAAAGGAGGAGTTAGTGGGGTGGGTCAGTACCTACAAACACTGCGCATGAAAAGGGGTCTCTCAAATTTGGAAAGATAATTAATTTCCTACAACCACACAACAAAGAACTCTTGTTGGAAAGCCTGGAATCCTCAAACACCATCAGCCTCATGCAAAAGCTAATATAAGCAGAACACTAAAGTGACCAGAGCCAATTGCAGATAGAGAAGCAGATGATGAAAGATGACTATGCTGCTAAAATACACGTGACTGGCTGCTAAAATGTGCAAAGTGTCACAATAGAATTCAAAGTGGGTAGGGTTAATATTCCTGTATAAAGAACGATATAAACGACATAGAAAATTAACTGAAAGAATTTTCTGTCTTTTATTTTGTCTACAAAGAACATTTTCTTTATTTTTCCTTTGTGACACAGCTTCGCAATGGTTTGATGACAACCTGGTCTTTGCTAGCTCCATGATCAAATAGCACAACATGGGCAGAGCAGGGCGCAGACTGGGACGACCACTTCAATGACTAGTGGCAGTACTGACCAGTGTAGGAATTGATCAAGGACCAACCGGCAATAAGTGTCATAATATTATTGATATTTAGTGAGCTTGGCTTAGTAGGGCACAAGGGAAAAATGATAATGGGAAGATTGTGCTGCACTAGTCTTTCAAGTGGGGAGAATTTGTTTACTTTGAAAATCCTAACTTGAGCTCAAATATTGATCACTGGTATCAGAGATGAATATGCAACTCACCACTCAACTAATGGCTTCATTATATTTATTTGAAAATCAAATATTTTTAGATGACTGAATCAATCCGTTTTTAATAGAAATAAAATATAATTAAAAGACAAAAATAAAAAAGTTTTTTTTTTCTTTTTTACAAATAGATGCTAAAACTGGATTATAGTGTTGTGGAATTACTCCTACTTGGCTTTGCCATGTTCACTGTTAAACAACTATAAAAGTGATACATTTTTTGTTTCTTCCTCTTTTTCATTTATTCCTTTCAAATGAAGTAGTAGCCACACCAGCATGGAATGTGTTCCTGACTTGGGGATATCTTTCCCTGGTGACTGAATTCTTCCACACACAATTCCTAAGAGCTAGATTTTTATCTTCTTTTTTCAGTTATTTTTGCATGCAGACAAGTAGATTTTATTTCTTGTTAATCATTTATGAGTGATATATAAAACATAAAATATATTGCCTTGTTGAAATTTATTCCATTTCTTTTCACCTCTACAAATAATGACAATCTGTCATTTACATGCCTATGTTTTGTTTGCCACTTCTTTTAGTCCAACTAGGAGCACATACTGCAATATTGTACTTAATTTTAAATTATATAAAGGAAAACTAAAAAAACTCGGTCTTGAAACAAATAAAACAAATACTTACAAGGGATGATTTTTATATTCTGAAATTGTTTTAGGAAGAGGCTGCTTAAGGAGATTATCTGATGAAAAAAAAAAACAAAAAACAAACAAAACTTAAATTTACCAAAGTTACATAATTCATATTTTTCAAATTTATGTAACATGTCCACTAACAAAGTTTAGTAAATAATATATTATTTATTTATAGATGTCTAAGAAATGAAGACTATTTTATAAAATGTCAAGTATTTTACATGTTGGTAGACATCAATATAGCATTTTACTGAAAATACAGGAATATTTTTCTTTTAATATTTATTCACAGACCAATAAAAAAAATTTAGACAATACCTTTCAGCAAAATTATTTTTTATGTGAAATTCATTTTTACTTTAAAATGTGATCAAAACCAATATTTCCTAAACCAAACTTAGTATAAAATATTTTTGAGTAAATATTTTTGAATACTGAAAATTTGATCAAAACCAATATTTCCTAAACTAAGCTTAGTATAAAATAAAACCACAAGAGTGAAGAAATCAGAGAGGATCAAAAAAAGAATGTGCTTAGCATTATTTTTTATATTTACCTTCAACAAAAACACTAAGTAAAATGAATGAAATATAGATAGATTCAAAATACAAAGACAAACATTTATTAGTACGTTTACCATGAACAATTTATTTTCTCAAAACAATAGGGTATTTAATAAATTATGCTCATAAAATATTAAAATAAGAATGAAGAAAAACAGACACCTTGAATCTGAGTATCTTCTATTTCATTATCTTTATCTATTTTCAAATAAGGTTTCATAGTTTTTTCCCACCATTCTTCCTGGACTCTCAACTTTCTTGTCTTCAACATCCACTGTGAAGAATATCGAGGTGTCACATCTTTGAGATAACCATCTGGAAAAGAAAGAACTGCTTGATTAAGCAATACCTAGGTGCCAATTTCTAAACAATAAATAGACAACAACAAATGATTCCTGTTTGAATTAGCAACTTTTTAAAAAAAAAAAAACAATTACATCCATTTTTCTAGATAATTTGTATTTTTAATATTTACCACATTAGCAAAAAGTCAAAGCAAATGATTGATACTCAAAATGAGAAGAAAACTGACAGAAAATTATAAATATCCAAAGTTCTTGAACTTATTAAGATAATGAAAAGATTAAATATAAGGAAACTGCTGAGATTAAGCATTTAAGATGAGCAATGTTTTTTTTTTAAATCATTTTACCCAAAGCAAGACAACAAAGCCACTAAGATGCAGTGTGGGTTACTGAGTATGAAAAAATATAAGAAAAAGATCATTAACGAGAGAGAACAATAAAAGAACAGAAATTAAGAAGACACAAGATAACAATTGATATTGCATTTAAATTTTTTAAGATCAAAGTTGTCTGAAAAGCAAGAATCTGAAGAAAAACTGTTAGCATAGAACATATAGTTACATCCAGCTATTTTAAGTGTAAAATGTTAAGATCTTGCTGCCAATCTGGTACTACACTTAAACTGATAATGTCTAAGTACCAGAGAGGAAAGGTCATCAGAACGATTATGAAAGTATTTACAGAAAAGGCACAGGTAGTGGGAAAGTGACTGAAGATGAGATGTCAGATCATGACCAATGAAATTGCAGATTCTTCTTTGGATTTTATCAAGAATCTCTAAATTACTTTAAAAAAAAAAAAAAAAAGCACAATGTTCATTTATTAAATATTGCATCAATTGCAGTACAAATTATATAGTTGTTAAACCTGCTTAACATACATGAAAATTAGAATCTCTAATAATTTATTTCAGCAGTAATCTGCTAAGAGGTGAAATTGATTGTCTCTAATCTCATCTTGCTATATCTATTTATAACAACCCATTTCATTTACTGTAATAAAAGTGTGTGATACACCTGAACATTATTTTCTCTATATAAAATATGTGAATATGCATTCAGTATTTGCTATATACATACAACAGCATATCTACTATGTGAGGGTACTGAAAAGTTCTCTGTCTAGCATAGAAGAGATTCCTCCCAAATTTCTGATGTTTGGCCATTTGGTTAGATTTTGCTAAGTGGGCTAGGCCAAGAACTTTTCAGCATCACTTTCATATTAGTATGTAAAAGGTACAAAAAAAAAAAAAAAAAAAAAAAAAAAAAAGAAAGAAAGAAAAAGAAAAAAAAAGACAAATGTCAAGAAGTTAGAAATTTTGGGTTTACAAAATACAACATAAAAACAATCTAACAACTGAACAAAGTCAATGTGCGGTTATAAACCATAACTTATTTAATGCACCTCCATACTTCACAAATAATAATAATAATGACATCATACTTATTATAAAACCCAGGTTGTGTGTGTGTGTGTGTGTGTGTGTGTCTGTACGTTTATATATTGGATTGTATTTCCTACATTTTTCAATCGATTTCAACAAAACTTCACAGGACTACATAAAATTACCTTGCGGTGGTTCTGATAGCGCCAAAAATTGGAAAAACACAATTGTTTTTGCACAAAATCAATTTGAAAACACAATAAAACACGATTCTGTCGCCAGAATGAAAGGGGGACAACTCATATCGAGTTATACTTATTATAAAACCCAGGTTGTTTGTGTGTGTGTGTGTGTGTTTGTTTATATATGGGATCGGATTTCTAATTAAGACATGCGTGTCCGTCAACCTTAAACAATAATCTTTGTCAATTTTATTTTTCAGTCTTTATGATGGTCGATACTTGATCTATCTCTTACATCCCCGGGCAACGCTGGGCTTTACTGCTAGTTACTATTAAATAGAAACATTTTGTAAAAGATGTTTATCTATTATCGATGTATGTCTATTATATCTATAATCATGACAGTTATTTATAACTAAAGGGTGTTCCAATAACTTGGACCAATTTTAAATGTGTAATTGTGTTTAAGCATGTAATGATTTTTTTCTTTTTCTTTCAGATTTAACAACTTAAGTCTTTGGCAATTTCAACCATGGAAAGATTAACAATCAAACAATGTGTTAAAGTTATCAAAGCCTATTACAAAAATGGACATTCGAACAGAAATGCATTTTATGCACTTTGTGATTTTTTGGGGTCAACATAACTGACCAACTGAGAGTGCAATTGGAAATGATGTAACGTTGTAGAGAGGTTCAATTCCTGCGTGCGATGATGAATAGAGGTGTCTGGATTTTTGGCCACATTCTTGTGCAATACATCAATGTTTTCAGGTGAATGGCGTAAACAAGCACGCAATGGTGTTTTCACATCTGCCACCGAGCCAGTTTGTTTGAATTTACAAACAATTTTTCCAATTGCATTCTTGAAATTTTAACATTTTGTTAATCTTTCCATGGTTGAAATTGCCAAAGACTTAAGTTATTAAATCTGAAAGAAAAAAAAAAAAAAATCATCAGATGCTTAAACTTAATTCATTTAAAATCAGACCCTTAATATAAGGGCGTTACCATATTTTAAAAACTGCATGGGTGTGGGGAGAAAAAAAAAAAGGTGTAATTTTAATCAAAAAGATTGTGCACAAGCCTCATTTGTACCCATTAGAATATGACTAGAACATAATGTATGCTTTTATTAATGAAATGAAAAAGTTGCAGATAAAGTTTATTTTCAGAGACTCTAAAGTGTACAAAAAGAAATTGTTGTAATGGAATGTTCCACACTTCCTATCACCTATGTGAACTGACTATATCAGTAGATATATATAGTGAGCACAGGATATACCTCGGACTTGCTTCAAGAATTACTAGCCTGCTACCCGATTTCCTGTCTTTCAGTAGCGTATTCACTTTTACAATAAACTTCTATTTCTTTCATCAACATGCGTGTTGCTGTTCCTTTCACTCAAGTACCACTTTTGTCTGTTTGTAACCTCTTTAAAGATACAACAAAAATTTAACTTAAATCTTAGCCTATATGTAAAATTTTACATGCAAAAATATATTAATAGTTTTAGTTTGTAGTTAGAGATTTACAATAATAATTTTTATACCAGTTTTCAAATCTTGTGTTCACATTAAATGTATCAAAGGCATTTAAAAGCTTCTGTTTGTAACTAAAAGTACCATGAGTGAGTTTTTCAATTGGCATTCTAATTTTTATCATGTAATTAAGACAAAAATTCACCTTGATTCATTGCATGAAATTTTATTTTATCTCATCCACTTGTTCATTCATGCTCTAACAGATAACTCCCCTTTAGCAATCTTTTATGTAACAATACTTTTTATATATTTACAAAGATATTCTCATGAGATGATTTATTTCTTCATCATCTCTTAGGATCCTTATCTTAGCAAACCAAATGAAATTATGAAAAGCACAAAAGTATTTGTACAAGTTCATAGAGGACATCAGCTGAAACAAAATGAAAATATTTAAGATGTAAACACTAGTATAGAAAAGAAAAGGCCTTGATTAATCTTATGTATTAGATTTAGAAAGAATACGTATAGAATTATTAAATATATACATACCATTATCAAAAGAAAGAATGTAGGTGAGAGGTCTAGAATCTAAATTTTCAAAGTGAGACACATCATCAAAAACCATATTTACACAATCAACAGCTGAAATTAAAGAAAAAAAATATCAATAAACCTACAATAGAAATAGTCATTAAAATCACTAAAATTATATTCACTTCATTAACACTAAAATGAAATGTTAACAAATATTAAAAAAATGCTTGAACACAAAAACAGAATCAAAACTATAAATAACATTTTTGTGGCCTGTTTGTGAATCTGATCAATTTACTAGACTACCATGTTCATGAAAACTCAAAAGAAAAATAGTCATGCTATTTTGTTTGAAGATAAATGAAACTGACAATTCTACATTGTCCTAATCAGCAAAACTCTTATGCTCAACATTTTGATTAAACTAAAAGTACTTTGCAAAATATACAGAAGAAAACGGGAGTTTATGATTTTTTTGTTTGTTGTTTTTGTAATAGTAGTTTGAAAAAAAAAAAAATTAATCTAAATGTACTTAAAGCTATCAAAATCTGAGTCACAAGTTCTAATGAGAAAAGGTTGAAATTAAAGAAAGTTTTGTTTATTTCGTTTTTACATTGCTTTTGTCTAATTCATTTTTACAGTTTATTTGTGAAAATCAAATATATTTCTTAGTGAAGAGGGATTTCATTATCTGTAATCAAATCATTATGGTGTATAGTAAAATAGTACTGAAAGTATATAAAATATATTTTCCTTCAAGAATACACTACTAAACCAAATTTGAACAATTACAATATTACTCAATAAAAACTCAACATTTCTCATATACTATATAATTGATAGTCCCTGAAGAGTGGACAGACAGGTCAGTATATGGAGCTCTGGAGTCAGGATGCTGAAGGTAACATCAGTCAGCTAAGTGACAAACTTTTATGTGTATTAATTATATATATATATATATATATTTCTCCATAAAAAAAAAAAAAAGAAAAAAAAAAGTGCTTTCAGCAAACTTTGCCATTGCTTGTGGAATGAGTGGGGTATTCGACTGGATACGAAAATTGGGGTTTACAGAGCTGTTGTACTTGCCATTCTTTTGTATGGCTCAGAGTCGTGGACTCCATACAGGTACCATATACGCCAGCTAGATGTTTTCCATAAAAGCTGTCTGCGTTCAATCTGGGGAGTTAAGCTTCAAGATAGGACATCTAACGTAGACCTGTTTAACAGGTGTAATATTGGAGGAATTGAGACTTATCATACAGTCTCAGTTATGGTGGACTGGTCATGTCTTGAGAATGTCTGATGACAGGATACCCAAGATCCTAATGTACAGCCAGTTAGATCAGGGCTACAGAAGTGTAGGACACCCATGGCTAAGATACAAAGACAAGCTGAAAAGCAACTTGTCAGCAGTCAATATACCACATAGCACCCTTGAGCGCTTAGCTTTGGCGCGGGTAGAATGGAGACAAACGTGTTTTAGTGGACTCAGCAATTTTCAATCTGCTTGTCTGAATCATCTTCAAGAAGTGAGAGCAAGATCTAAAAGGTCAGCCAATCTAACAGTGATCTCATTTCACAATCCTCACACTTGCTCCATATGTGGCCTCCTTTGTAAATCACTAGTGGGTCTTAAATGCCACTTAAGATTATCACACAAACTTTCATAACTGAATCAATAAGCTATCAGATCCTCATATGTTGAAACCGACGGGAGAGTCCATTATTATTATTATAATTTCTCATTCCCTCTGGTGTGCACTGATAGTTCAGGGGTGGAAACTCCAAATCAGTCAGGTTTCGATCCTGGCTTGAAGCACTCGGATGCCTAGCTGCACGGATGAGCTGTGATACAGCAAAACAGGCCTGTACATGGATTATATATATCTATCTATATATATATATGTACACACACACACACAAAAAAACATTTTTAAAAACTTAAATAGCTAAAACATACTTACATAACCATCTTTTCTCTTTTTCCAGATACACTTCAATCCAAGTTTCTGTCACTAAATAATTATATTAACAAATATTAATATAAAGATAATAAATTATCAAACATTTTCTTAATAACTTAAAATTACAAGCACAGACTTAATCCCAATTGAGAAATAATAAAAACAATTACAGACAAAAATTATATGTACATTCATGGAGCAGTTTGCATTTTTGCCTTATTTATACCAAATAAAACAGAAAATGCTTTTTTAATAAGTCAGTGATCATTAAGATAACTACTTCTTTTATATGCTATGTCTTTTCAGGAGGTAGATGATCATGGCCACTGCAGAATCCGAATATTATCCCAAACAATGTAAATTAGTCTTGTTGTCATTCATGTATTACAATTAACAAGGGCCAAAGCATAAGTTTTCATACACAAGTAGAAACTTTGACATTAACATTTTCAAATTATCTGGTTTCTGTATCGGAACATTTTTAAAAATAATATTGCTATGCCTATTCTCTTTAGAAATTAAAATACAGTGTTAACAGAAAGCTTTGCTTCCAATCTATTTATTATTCAAAATTATAACTTATTTAAATAATCTATTGATAAACTTTGGTGGTGTTACATTCTTCCTAAAACAAGATCTTCTGATTCATGCTAAACTAATTTCCACAACTGGCCAGTTGTGAACATTCCAAAACCCAAGACTGAACTAAAAATCCATCACCTGTGCATAGGCTCTGCACATAGCTTCTGTTTTGATCACACACAGAAAGAAAAATACAATTGTTTATTTCTTAAGCCTCCATTGTTTCTTCTTTGTTCTGCCACCATATGCTTAATATAACAACTAGTGTCAGGAAGCATGTAGCCAGAACAAGAAAATGGACTACAGCACATTTACTCACCATGAAATACTAGAATTAATCAAATAGCAACATGCAACCATTCTCAAACTGAAAACAGATCTGAAATCCACAAGCAAACATCAAGCCAGAATCATTGACAAACTTCGAAGAGAACTACAGGAAAGGCTGATTGCTCTCAACTCTGCTTCCGTTGGGATTGCACACATGCCCCAGACCTCAAGAGACTACAAACTGCTCATGTGACTACAGTCCTTTCATGGCGCTATGTGCAATGTAAAACCTTTCCATCTAGGTAACGATGTCAATCAGTTCATAACTGATTTGAACAAGACATACACAATCCATGTAAAACCCGAGCTTGCACATAATGGAAACAGAGTTTATTAAGATCACTAAACAACTTCTTGATGAGGGCATATTCAAACAGATGGCGAATTCGCAACAGACCATGTCCTCGTACAAGCAGTTTACGGCCTACTTGCTAAAAACCCCTTAAATAACGAACTTTCAGCACCTCAACTGAGCGTGGGACCTGCAACGACGTGACGGCAAAAAGATCACCAGTTTTGCAGGCTTGCTCAAGACTACAATCACAGAAGCAGCAGTCCAGGCAAAGTTTCAGATGGACAATATCAACTCTGAAAGGAGCACCAACAGGATTTTTCTCTCATAGATGTGATGCTCATGAGTGAAATTAAGGCCCGAGCTCTGAACATATATACCCCCCTCGTAAGGACAATGGAAATGGACAGCCATTACTCAACAGGTGGTATAGCTAGCAACGTCCAAAGCTACCTTAACCGTGGCATAAAAACTGACGCCATCTCAAACATGACTACAGATGTAATGTACGTGTAAATACAGCAACCACATATACAAGTGAATCATGGTGTTCATCAGGATCTCGCTAACCTGAAGCATCAAATACAACAGATACACCGATGGATAAATCACCCAGTAATGCATGGCCAGAACATCTCTACAAGACTGGAGCACAATGACACAACCCTGAGATATATCCAGAAATACATGCCCACAAATAACTCCAATAACAGAGTCAACCATTCTTGTCTGCAGAAACAACATGAGGGGCCTCGCATATTTCAAGGACAAAAATTTCACTTATTTCCACCCTCCTCATGCTCAAGCACATGTTGCGATCGTATATGCAAACACACCTACAATAGTCACAGAACAACCTGAAGACACAAATCAACTTCATGAAATGGATTTTCGGTCAGGACCAGACGAGATGTGATGGCTCAGTCCCTGGTCCAGAGCATTAACAAACACCATCACATCTTCAACTTCCAGTATCCACACTCGCACTGATCTCCTTTCATGAAAATCAAAAAACACCTACAACAGTTCTATCTAGAACTGAGGATATCTGTCCTGATGCTAAAAAACTCCCTAAATACACCTAAATACTCGTTGTACCATACAAGCTCCTAGCCAAATATCTACACCGAACACATGACTGCATCAACCACTCGGAGGTGCACCCACTTATTAAACTATTGGTGGGAGTTCAAAAACCACAACATTATAGCATACATCAAATCATGCAATATCTGTAGTGAACACAAGGGGAATTACAGTAGGCGTCCAAACTGGCCCTACAGACATTACCATTGAGGCAGAAGACTTTTCTAGGTCATATACATTGTCATGATGCCACCCTCAAGGTCAAATGCTACATCTTAATGATTTTAAACAATGAGGACCCCAGATCTAGCAATCTCAAACAGTCATCAGTCCTAATGTGCCAGAGAAGAAATTCCAAAAAACAAACACATGGTCAACTACCAAAACATTTTTAAAATTTCTTTATGAACTATAAAAAAAAAAAAAAAAAAAAAGCATCCCCACACCATACATACAACCCATCTGTGAATCAGAATAAGATCTAGGGGGAGCTGTTACATTCTTCTGATTCATGCTACACTAATTTCCACCACTGACTGGATATGAAAGCTCCAAAACCCAAAACTGAACTAAAATTCCATCAACTGCACATAGGCTCTGCACATAACTTCTGTTTTTACTCACACACTAAAAGAAAAATACAATTGTTTATTTCTTAAAGCTCCACCACCATATAGTTAATATAACAATGTTTTTTTTCTAGTATGTAAAAAAACTAAGAATAAATATGAAGAAAATATTCCATGTAAAATTTATATAAAAAGACAATGGCTTACATTTTTCTTGATTATCAGCAAAACTAGCATTGGAAGAACTGCTTGATATGATTTTATGATCAGCTTTGGATTCTGTTCTTTTGGAAGATGTAAATTTTATGGACTCTTCAAAATCATCTGAAGATATGGGACTATAATGAAAGATAAAGAGAAAAAACATTTTAACACAAATATTATCAAAGTACAAAGGAAATAAGAAATTTAAAACTTTTCACAAATAAAAAAAATATTTTCATTAATAATACCTTGAAGAGCTACTCATTTTCTCAGAAACCTTTGAAGCTAAAGTCTTCTTGCAAATTTTCAATTTCTTTTCAGACACTTTGTCCTCTTCCTCAAAATCACTTTCATCAGATTCTTTATAAGAGATATTCTTTGATTTCTTTCGACTGGGACGGTTCTTTTCCTCAACTGTTGAATCATTCTCAGTTTGGTTAGATTTCTTTTCAGAAATAAATTTGTTCCGAGCGCTTTTTACCATTTTAGTTTTTTTCTTTTCAGTTGATTCTTTCTTTGTGATTTTTCTATTTTTAAAATCATTTTTCTTTGCAACTGTCTTTTCTTTCTGAATGTTCTTTAGCACGGAATTTTGAGTTTTCTTCTTATCTTCCTTTGAAAAAAGAAAAAGAGAACAAAGAACATACCAATTTGTTAAAATTAGTTCATTCATTACTTTTTAATTTCAGAGCAATTCTTATGCTTTAAACTATCAATGTTTGAAGTTGTGTTGTATATTAATTTCATTAAACTGTGTCTGACATACCTTAAATGTTACCATGTCACTTTGAATCAGGAATAAATTTTTGTATTTTTCTGTTAGGCACAGGAGAATATCAAAGTAAAAAAAAGAACTGTCAAATGACCATTCACATTATATTTTTCTTCAGAAAGTTCAAGAAAAGTATTATAATGTCAACATGAAACTTGGGATATTGATGTCTTGCAACAGGTAACAAAATCTCTGTATATCTCACAATTTATTTCATAAAATGATCAGATTGAGGTGTCTTTTCATATTTTTCATGGATTCCTAAAATAAAATAAAAAGTTAACTTCCTTGATGCATATTAAGCTTATACTGAGAAATACTAAACAATGTATTACTTTGGGTTCTTTCAATGGAATTGGATGCAAAGACATCACAAATCGAACTCTCAATCCAAGACTACGGAGAGCCATCACAACCATCTAAAAAGAAAGGAAAAAACAAATATATCTTTAATATGAATAGACAAATAAGAGAAAGTGGAAGGAGAAAAATGAAAGTTGTCTGCTGCTAGTTAAAAACTGAATAACAATAATGACAGCCATATTCATATTCTGTTGCTATTAATCATAAAACTGATATTATCATTTAATTAGATAATGATCAATTAATAAGATATTAGATTTGAAGTATCACTCTTTGCTCAATTTAAATGAGTGATTCCCATGCAGGCAGTGGAAAGATTTAGGGGCGCAGTGATAGAAGAAAAGTGGGTTACCAGAGGGTGGCAGTGGAACATTTGAACTATAGCATACACCACATACACATTGTAACTGAAGTGTATCTTGCCTTCACTTTACAGTGTGTCTATACATTTGGGAGGTGTTAGGATTGTGTCTATGTATTTAGAGGGAGACATTAAAGTTGTATTTTGATATGCATTAGGGTGGCAACCCCGCAAAATTTGGGAAATAATGACTTACATGAACAAGAAAAATATATAACTTAATGTATATAATGGAAAAAGTGGTAGCAAGGAGATCAAAGTTGAAAGATTGTTATATAGCTTTGTGTTTATCTTCATGCAAGACAAGACAAAATTACTGATAATAGAATCAAATAAATTCTTTAAATCGTCCACATGTTAACAATCAATATATTTAATATTTGCTTTTTAATACATCCTTAAAGCATCTACATAATAAAGTTGATATTTTATGAATTTCTGATACAAGAACACCTATGGGTTAAATTATATCAAGCATAATTCCAATTTATAGTCACAAAATCACTATTTCAAGTATTTTTCCTATTCTTTTATGACTTTAGAAACTAGACAAAAATTAAGTCTTTTTATAACAAAGAAAACGGAAACATTTGCTATCAATATTTATGCACACCACAAATACTGTCAAAAAAAAAAAGTAGATAAAATATACACCTACCATTGTATATTCTTTTGTACCCTGAGCTCTACAGTTAAAAAATGATTTCACAATAGATGAATATGTTAGCTGCAAAAAAAAAAAAAAAAAAAAAAAAAATGAAAGAGTCAATATTATCCTTTCAATTAATTAGTTTTTTTTTCCAAATAAGATTACTTGTTTTTTTTAATAAACACTACTCATTAAATTAGCTAAAGTTTAACCAGTACAAAAAGGGTTGTCATTGCCTAAACTGGCTTTTACAGACCAAACTTATACTATACTTATTATTACATAAATGTTTAGGAAGAGGATTAACATAGATTGATAAAACAGAAATGATTGAATTTATAAACAATATCTGTCAGTTTAATACTTTAGCAGAGTTAAGTGACCCAAAACATCATAAAACAAATCACATCTGTTATGCAAAGAAGCAATATGTATACTGATAGGTTTTTAAAACAAGAAAAAAAAAATATCGGATTTTAAACAATATTCAGTGTCAAATGACAATAAAAGTATCAAAGCTGAATTTCACAAAAGTTAGTCAACCATCACAAAATAGGAATTTAGTTTGAAGATACAAAAATCAGGTCTTGTTGAACTCAAAAAAAATAATGACACGGTATTGCTTTACAGACCCAATAGAAATGGCTACAAGAACATCATTAAGTCATAGAAATCAAGTACAAACAGTAATTATGAATATTTTAAAGATCATCTAAATTCATTCAATCTAATGAAATAAATGAAAAATGTTTAATGCACATTATATTAAAAATTTTTTTATCAAAACAAGTGTAACAAATCTATCTATATTAATTCATTTAGTCTATTTTTACTCAATTTTTAAACATGGTAACTTGTTCAAATTAATTTGTAAAAAGATGGAATGATTTCCCATTGTAATATATACATTTGATTGCCACACACCAAATGTAATAGAAACAGTGATCTTCTAATCGTAATAGTAATAGAAAAACACAATACAATCTACTGTTCTGTAGTTAATAGTCCTTGTTTTATTTGGATGCAGAATGGAGAAAGAGATCAAACCTGAAACAAGGTTTCCTTATTTCAAGTCATCTGATCACTTCCAGCAGTATGAGTTGCAACAAGGCACTGAGTACTTGAAAAGCAGAATGATCCAAGTACAAATGCTGAGTGAAAGCTTATTACTTGCTATATAATTTTTTTCTCATTGGTTAAATACACATCATTATTTTGAGGTGTGCCCTTGGCCATGCAATTTATCTTCCAAATGTTACTGAATGTAAAATATGTCCTTCAATAATGTCATACTACTAAATATATTGCACATTACATAAATAGAAGAAAACTTGGAGTAATTTTAGAAAAATATATAATTTCAAAAATACCTTTTATCCTAGAACAAGATACCAGATTTAGGTTTGCTTACATCATAACATTTTAAAGCATAGAAAATAGCATGAACTATAAAAGATTGAGTGATTTGTCTTTATGGATTTTAGATTGCAAGAATAATTCCTTTTTTCTTTCGCAAATGAATATTGCATTAACAATTCTTTTTGAGAATAACGATGATTTTTTTTTTAATAGGTAAAAATCCTACTATTTAACTGTGGGGAAAATAGCAAAATCAGAAATCCAGGGTCTTAATTGCAGGCCATAAATCAGTCTTGCAAGTCCAAAGTTAAAAATATTGCAGCATACAACTGCCAAAAAAATAAATTACTGCTGTTGTCTAAATTCGAGTAAGAAAGACTATGATTGATCAAGACTGGCAAGCAAGTGCAAAAATAACCATATTTCAAGGCCTTACTAAAGCACACCTGACCTTTATTTTGTTTTTGACAACAAAAAGAACACAAATTCTTTTTCAAGGTAAGACTTGGTTTTCCCTTCATTGCTGCAGGAAGGAGATGGATTCATACCTTTCCCAAGGATATTTTTGCGGAAATGAATGCAACGAATCCAGATGGAACTTTAATTCTGCTATCTAATATATCACCTGCACATCCTGAACTATAAACAAACAAGTCTATAAAAATTTTCTTTGTTGAGAATAAGAATGCAAAAGTAACAAAATTTAACCCTTTCTGGGTTTTTTTAGCGAGTTATTTTCAGTGTATCCTTTTAGTCAATCAGTAATAAGAGCGGTCAAGAGAGAAATAATCAAAAATTTATTAAAGCTAATACACTTTTAGTCTTATCCATTTTACCTTCATCACTGAATACTGTGGCACAAAAGGTGATTATAAACTTGTTCAGGATTACACCTATTAATTCCTATACCTTTGATAGTAGTTGTTTTGCAGTCTCAGGAATTCACAAACTGACGGCTCATCTAATATGTTGTGTGTCTACATTCTTGTGTTGTAAAAGACTCTTCAACCACAGGTTTTTTTAAACTTTGATAAATATGCACACTCAATAAAAATTCAATACCTGGTTAGCATTCTACATTTTTTGTCTATTGTAAGGATATAAATAACCAGCATATCAAAGAGGTTGAGTCTTGTAACATTATCTTATGCCAATATGATACTGAAGTGTAGTAACTGTGTTTGTTCATTCATAACTCATAATCTGACTTATGAAGAAGCTCTTATATGGTGATTGGATAGAGTAATCCTTATCATCCCATATGTGTCCCTGAAATAAACAAGTCTATATCTTGACATTGATATATGACTGCTTTCTTGCAATTAATCTCAAGTTCTCAAGATTCTTCCATGGTCTGAAAACCAGATGTCCTTAATGCTGACAAGTGGCTCATGATCCAGAATTTGACCTTTCCTATAATTCCACATAGAACTGGATGAATAGGACAAAATCATCTTTATTAGAAACATTTCTAGGGTAGGTGGGCCAGAGGTGCATTGGATAAATTTTAGCTATGCTATATTTACTCACTCTTACTAAGTTAAAACTTACTTGTTCCAATCATTCAATTATGAGTTCTAATTAAAATTTTTTTAATTAGTTCACTCATCAATCTCTGCTTGATGTAAACTTTATTCATGATTTTTCTTGTCTATTTTGTTTTAATGTGGCAAGACTTTCAAAGTGAACTTTAGCAGTTACTGCAGCATCAGAAAATGGAACAGGTAAAGATGGCTAAAAATCTGTGTTGATCACATCGTGTTAATTTTGTGTTGATCTCCTGAAGTAAAACATCAAAGAATTCAGACTTAAATAAACACTGTGTTTCAACTTATAAATATATCAATGCTAGTTAATCACAGTAACCTGAAACTGAAGAAAATTCAGGGAAATAATTGAGTATATTGGCTGTGTAGCTGCTAAAGAAAACAAATTTACCTGAGCACGTATCTACAACAGAGACTAGCTAGCCACCCTAGTGGACAGGCATACACAGAAACAAGCAGTCAGACATTTACTAAAAGAAAAAAAAAGAAAAGAAAAAAGAAAAGAAAAAGAAAAAAAAAAAAAAAGAAAAAGAAAAAAAAAAGAAAAAGAAAAAGAAAAAAAAAAAAAAAAGAAAAAAAAAAAAAAAGAAAAAGAAAAGAAAAAAAAGAAAAAGAAAAGAAAAAAGAAAGAAAAAAGAGAAAAGAAAAGAGAAAAGAAAAGAAAAAGAAAAAAAAAAAAAAAAAAAAGAAAAAGAAAAAAAAAGAAAGAAAAAGAAAAAAAAGAAAAAAGAAAAAAAAGAAAAGAAAAAGAAAAAGAAAAAGAAAAAGAAAGAAAAAAAAGAAAAAGAAAGAAAAAGAAAAGAAAGAAAAAAGAAAAGAAAAAAAAAAGAAAAGAAAGAAAAAGAAAAAAAGAAAAAAAAAAAGAAAAAAAAGAAAAAAAAAGAAAGAAAAAAAGAAAGAAAAAAAAGAAAGAAAAAGAAAAGAAAGAAAAAGAAAAAGAAAAAGAAAGAAAAAAAAGAAAAGAAAAGAAAAAAAAAGAAAAGAAAAAAAAAAGAAAAGAAAGAAAAAAGAAAAGAAAGAAAAAAGAAAAGAAAGAAAAAAGAAAAGAAAGAAAAAAGAAAAGAAAGAAAAAAGAAAAGAAAGAAAAAAGAAAAAAAAGAAAAGAAAGAAAAGAAAGAAATCATACCTACCGCTTCAACATCATTTTCTTGAGTTGTTATTTGTACAGTGGTGGAGAAGGTTGTAAGTAGATTTTTTATTTTTCCAACTGTGAAATCAGATTTATCAGTAGGAGGAATAAGAGAGAAAGCGAGGGCTTTCAAAACAGGGTCACAGCATGACCTATTTAGCACCATTCCATGACCAATCAAACAGAGCAAGTTAACCTATAAATATATTGAAACATTTTATAAGAACATAGAGTGGTTATATGTATTTATTTTATGAAGGATGATATTTAAAGCAATGAAATTGATTTGATATTAATTTAAAATTCATAAATATACGTACCTCACATTCTATGTAATTGTTGTACAGTATTTACATTAGTCGGACTATTGTCCTCATCTTTGTCGCCATATTTCGGCCGTTGTACGCTCAGGTGGTTGGAATTTTGAACTGAACCCTTTATTTCGATCACTGGGGTAGACTGTTCTAGTTCCACGTGCCATGTTTGATGGATGTCAGTTATCAGTTATCTCCTGACAATTTTCCCTCTGAAAGCTCTCCACTGCCTTAACCAGGTATTGAACTCACCTTCTTTGGGTCTGTCACTGGATCTAACCAACGCCTTTATGTGCCATGTGTCCTTGAGAACATCTGGGTATGAACTGAGTATTATAAACCTAATAATTATAATTCAGCATCATTTTTACCAGTGCTCATATTGCAATTTTGCTGTTATCATTGCATGTCTTTACCAGAGTTCATATTGCAACTTTGTTATCATTGCTTTTCTCTGGCACTCCTTATTACTGGTTCCCATATTGTATTTATTTCTATGCTTGGTCGGCTCAGGAACCGACTAATGTAAATACTGTACATAATTAGTCCAACTAATATAAATACTGTACATAATACCTCATCTCAGAAATATAGACAGTAATTGTTGTAGTTTGAAAAAAAAAAAAAAAACAACAACAAAAAAAAACTTACCTCATGGACATC